ACTGACTGACTGACTGACTGACTGACTGACTGACTGACTGACTGACTGACTGACTGACTGACTGACTGCAAAAAAACGGAGCGGTAAGGAATGAAACGTGGGATGCGAAAAGAGCTCCCGAAAACGATTGACTGAAGAAGGGCACTGTTTATTATCGACATCGGTTTGAGAGGAAACAGGAGAAAAACTGCTATTGGACGGCCGGAAACCATTACTCTTTAACTGATATGACGGCGGTTGGTTCATAGTGCATGCCGCTGTTTGACGTAGCCTGGTATTTCTGCTTAATTTAAGCAGTGAAAGGCCTTTGCGATGTAACAAAATCTACCTGAAGATCGCAAGAAAGGTACGCTTATGTGATACTTTGCAGAAATCACAACCATACTCTCTTCTTATCTGGAGTTTCAGGTCGTCTGCCCGAGTCCTGAGCACAGTCTGTAGAGGCCATTGCCGTACGTCGTTCTTGGCATACCCGCGTTTCTTCGACGATTGGTTAGGCAAGCAGAGACTGTTTCGCCTTGCTTTCCACTACCACATGCAGTCGCTTTTTTGAAGAATGAGAAGGAAATAAAAATATGGCTATAATATTTTCGAATTTCCGATTAGTTCATATTCTTAACGCTTCGTGAACATGATTCTGAAACGTCGTTCATGATCAGCAAGAGATTATCGTAGAAAATAAATTGATGTGAAATGCATTTTGCTCTTCAGGTCGCATATACCTTATAGCCGTGACCCGATTAAACGTCCCGCCTAGACAACCATGCTAGTAAAGCGGAACATACGCAGTTAAATATAATTTTCGCGGAGTGCGGTGTTTGCTGATGTATATATTTTGATGCTTTTATTTATATTGAGTTTTCTGACTTTAACGTAAGTATTAATAATACGTTTTTATAGATGTCCATGCTGGAAGAGGACGTTGCGCTGATGAGGCAGTTCATCAATTTGAATAACCTTGTCGAAGGACTGAAAGACCTTAACCTCAAGGTTGTCAGTTTCGAGGAGGAAGATGATGACCTGATAAGACCTTTGCAGGCGATGGACAAAGAGGTCGACTGCCTGAAGCAGCAACATTTTTTCAGGCACAATTCCATGCTTTCGCGCACCTCGCGACCTTCACCCCGGGTGAGGCACAAGCGTTCGACACAGAACAGACAGGATATCTCGTCGGCGTCGTCCAGTCGGTCGTCGTCAGGGGTGTCTTGTTCCGAAATTCGCTGCAACGACAGTGGTTCCTCTCTCGGAAGTGATATATGTGGCGGTTTTTCAGCAAAAAGCTCGGGCGTCCAACATGAAAGTCAGAACTCACACGACTCGGGCATCCAGCTCTCACAGTCGGACGACAAGGACGTGTTTTTCGTTTAATCGCTGCACAGCCCATCCAATTAATCCATCTGTCCAGCTGTTCGTTCAGCAACTTGTCTTTTAAAGGCCGCCGCCCGCTGCATCGCATCGAAGACGTGTCTCATGTTCGTTGAGGTTTTCGATCGCCATCGTTTGAGAAGATCGCGTTTCGCCATGGCGAATTGCAGCTTACGGAGGAGAGCCAAGGAACCGAATTCCCAACTCTACCGAACGGTGGATGTGAAGAGTCGAAGAACTGCCAGGAATGGGAAGTCTTTCGCTGTTTGTCTTTCTCGAGAGGTTCGCCAATGCCTGAAGCTTCGCTAGACGTTACGTGTTCTGACGTTGTATGTGTTTTGTTCTCAGTCTGTTGTTTTTATGTTCCTGCTAGCGTATCGTCTCTTATGTTTATTTGTTATTGTCATATAAATTCATAACTAATCACTTCGCTTGAATCAGTGCACTCCGTCCGATTGAACGCTACAGCGATGTTCACTGTCTATGACCCAATCTAGTCGTCGTATCCTCGTTACAGTAATGCTATTCCGTTTTAATTAAACAGTTGGAAAGGATTATTTCTGGTGGTATTTTAGCAAAAACAGCTAAGTTTAACTTATGATGAAATTGCTTGCTATAGTTCTTTCAAGTAAATAAGCATTGCCACGGTGAATAGCATACATTTTGCTGCAGCCTTAACTACGAATGTGTCAGAACGAGTGTTTGTTCCGCTCCACGTAGAGATGCAGTTTTCGCACTCAATGACTAC